TTTATGATAAATATCTAATTCCATGATGGACAGCTCTCAAAAAGAAGGAAACTGCACGTCAGGGGATTAGGCACTCGTTGGCAGTCTTGCAACTACCAGATTGTTATCACACGCAATTTTGTAATTTGATGAAAACAAACGAATTAAGATACAGATCGCACAAAACCCGGTAGTTCCAGACACCGAACAATACAAGTGACGAGCCGTCGTACCTCAATTCGGCTAATCCCCAGCAATTGGTATCGTATGCGGTATGGTTTAGTTCTGACGGTTTAGGCTCACACAACTGTGAAATTTGATGCAGACCGGGGTGTAGGTAACACGATACCCATCACTATGCACCTATTGTTGTGCAGATCTGGTGGCCACTGATTAGTCCGGGCATCTCCAAAGCCAGAAGGCAACAGTGCTCTACAATAGGTGGTACAGATGTACCTGGCTCATTCCCTCGCCAACTAATTGGGTGCACTTCCTTTCGCACAAGGGCGGCACTTGAAAATACCCATTGATCGGGGAGTTTCGTGACTGAAATTCAATTAAATCGAATCTACGGTATGCAAATAAGGTATTGTATAGAAGTAACCCCGAAAGCAAACGGAACCGGAGAGCTACACATAGTATTTCCCCTTTTTGTTGAAGTTAGATGATCTTACTTATAGGAAAAGATATCCAAACAAACTTGAGTTATTTAAGTTTAAAAATTAATTACGACAAATAGTTCAAGCCTCAACTTGTTGATAAGCATGTATGTCTCTAATCATGTATGTCTCTCATCATGTATGTTTCTAAGCATGTATGTTTGTAATCATGTATGTTTCTGATCATGTATGTTTCCGATCATGTATGTTTCTAATCATGTATGTTTCTAGCCATGTATGTTCCTAATCATGTATGTTTCTAGCCATGTATGTTCCTAATCATGTATGTCTCTAATCATGTATGTTTCTAAGCATGTATGTTTCAAATCATGTATGTTTCCAATCATGTATGTTTCTAAGCATGTATGTCTCTCATCATGTATGTTTCTACCCATGTATGTTCCTATCCCGCGAATACCATTTACGATTATAATGGCGCACATATCATTGATAGATCGATCAAATGTGGAACACTGGTAGCTGGCAGCCGATGTAATCGAACGCGATCTTTCACAGGCCCCACAGGCATCAAATTAATCTGTATGAGTCGCTGCCGCCACCTTGTACAAAAGGAAGCAAAAGAAGTTGCTTTAATGAAGCATATGTGTCGGCTTTTGGACAAAAGAGCCAGGCATTTCGAGCCGAGGCATACAATTTATGATTAATCATAAGATCGATGAGAAAATTATGCTCATGACAAAAGGCCAGGCCAGAAGCGGGCATTAATCTGCATTTTCTAGGCCCCATCGAGTGCGAGATGACAAAGCGTTTATGGCGCATATAATTATTGGTTGCCGCCAGAGATCAGATGAGAAACGGAGTCTCAAGTGGCAGGAAATGCCACACAATTTGCCTTTTACCCCACCACCCGACTATTCTACTTCACTCGTGGGACCTGAGTGGAGATAATGTCTTAAGTATCGGCGACCAAAATGTCATTAATGACAAGTGCCCATAATGACTGGTAAGACGTTTTGTGAAAAAGTCTTTCAATCCAGCTCGACTGGAAGCATGCATAATTTGCTTATATCCAGTGGCTACTGTGCCGAGGCAATTACAGTGCTGTGATCACGTATTATTAAGCATATTTGTCGGCTGGGTTCAGAAATGGCCTCACAATCACTTACAGTCACTTTTCTTTGATTCGCAGCTCAATCTTTTTCGGAAAACACACTCCCATTTCCACACTGCATTTGACGGGATCAATTAATGAACTTCCTGAACTAATTGCCAAATACTCACTTGTGGTTAAGTAATTTAATGGGTTCTAAGCATGGCATCGCATTTGTATCACCAAGCGGCATGGAGTTTTATAAAATATCATGTAAAACTCATGTAAAATTCATGTAAACTTTCATTTGCATTCTGGATATGTAAGAAATGCCACATAAATAGCTGACTGGCTGAGCAAATAATTAGGGGACAAACAAGCGATCACAAATTGGCAGAAGGAGAGAATATATTGGCAACCTGATAAATACCAACATGTCCAGACTTAACCATTAATAACTGGTAAGCTCAGCAATGCTGTTGCGTTGCTAACTATTTTTGTTCACAGACAGCAGTGGCAGCAAAAAGCGTTTGTAATTATAACGCAAAAAGGCCGCGACAAACTCATTTGTCCATGGTGAAAAATTCACATTACACAGCGTCGCTGCCCGCGGAGTTATTGACGTGGAGAGAGGTGAGGATTGGCTAGATGCCATTTGAGGTCTGGTCAGGATCGGTGGATGGTGGATGGTGGCAAAATTGCCATGACAACAAATCAAGCATCATAATGTGTCAAGCAATGCATCAAGTGGCCCAACTGGAACGTCCAGGCAGCTGCATTACAACGTAATTGACGAGAATTGTCAACACTCCTCGCTGCTCCGGAGGCATCGCGGATGCACCGGGTTGTTGGGGGGCATGTGCTCATCCACCTCGTACTCTGCTGGATATACCAACACCTCGGCACCGGCCACTTACTTTATTTATCGCAATTACCGATTACAGCTAACTTTATGGCCTGCCAACCAGTTTCTTGTCCAATTGCAATTGCTGTGAATTGTCTTAACGCATTTTCTTGCGTCCTTTTCGCTGACCATATTTTATTGCCAGCTTCGCATGTAAGTAGTGCTGCTGGATAGCTAAGTTTAGACGCACTCCGTGGTATATAGAGTGAGAGATTCGTTAATGAGTATTGCGAACAAAATTGAACAGGTTCGTGGTAAGAACAGCTCATGCAACGAAAAATCTAACATGTAAAATAGGAAAAAGTCATAGATAACTATTTTTAAAAGACTTCAATTGATGTAGCAGTCCTTTCAGTGATTTCTTTAGTTACTTGCCCGCTGGCAATTAACATATTAGCCTTGTATTAAGAGTAAGCAGCTTAAATGATTGATTATATCATATGACGTGCCTAAACTATGCCTCTTTTACTTGCCCCAATCGCGATTGAGCTGGATACTCGTACTCAGTTGATGGGGTCCTGTCAAATGAGTATCTGTCAACAAGCCCTCGACATTGTCGTTTTCAATTTTCGGCAGGATAGCAGTGATTGATATTTATGGTCGTGGTGGAGCTGTGCGAAAAATTATCGAGGCACTTTGATCGTATTTCTTAGGCTCGTTACAGTGGAAGACTATTTCGTATGCGAGCGCATAATGAGTTGCAATTTGCAACTTGCAACGCAATGGAAGTAAATGTTAAAGTTGTCCCTTCGTTGTCTGCGGTTGTTGATCTGCTGCTACTGCTGCTGCTGTTGATTATCCCTTGACAGGGCATCAAATGCGAAAACGACCGCCCAATTTACATACAATGCACATCAATCGAATGGGCTACAACTGCAGTCCTGTCACTGCCACCGGGGCACCTTTGTGGCATCATCGGTTTTCCCCATCGCCTCCTATTTTTTGTTGCTGCTGTCCTGTATTTACCCTTTTACCCAGCCTTTTGGGCCCGGCAATCAAGCGTACTTGTTGTGCGACTCCAGCAACTGGCCAACAGACCAACCAACCAACCAACCAACCAACCAACCGACCAACAACTTTAGCGGCCATGACACAAAGATTGACAGCATGTCGTCGCTGTTTGGAAGCCTGATTGACATGAGTAATCAAGCAGCCGAAATGTGCCCACAAAACGCAGCCAGCAATGACACTGACAACGAAACCAGCCAACCAAACCACGCAGCCTTTCGTTTGCCCCTTTCACTGACAACGATGAGTCGACAGCCACGGCAATGGCAACTTGCAACGTGCAACTTGCGGCTCTCAACTTGCATCAACTTGATGAAAGAGGGGGCTTTCCTCGACTTTTGGATGCATAAGCCCAGTTACCATAATCCGTATATCAATTAAACCAAGAAAATGGCAGTTCAAGCAGCATCTTCACGAAATTATAGGAAAAACTGTACAATAAAACGGAATTTAAGGAAGATTCCTGTCAACATTGTAAATAAAATGGTATTTCAAATAGCTTGTATCAGATCCTTTAGTCCTGAAGCATAGAACTCACTGCACTCCCTGAACATTCCTAGCCAATTATTATCCATGCCCAGCTAATTCACGCATCAAATGCAAATTGCATTCAGCTCTTCTTGCCGGAGCTGAGCACTTTCGAAAATCCGTATCCTTTGCGGATTACCAAACAGAACCAATATCCCCATTGTCAACTCGAATGTGGCCTTTGATGAAGGCGACACGACATTGACAGACGGCAGCCGATTGACTGCTGACAGGCCAACTGGCGGGACAACAGTCCACCGAAAGTAGGGATACCGATCGGGATCGGGAATCGGGAATCGGGAAACGGGACTGGGATTGGGATTGCGACTGGGATTGAGGAGAGCAGACAAGCCTTTCCGATCTGGCCAAAATGAAGAAGCCGCTGCCGCGGGAGAACTGCAAACTGCAATTCTGATGACTTTTTGTCAGGCCTGATTGACGTCAACGACTCGAAGACGTTTGTCAGGCATATAAATCTTTTGGCTCGTTTGTTTCTTGGCTATGCCCACATATCCCAATCCCAATCCCAATCCAAATCCGACTGCAGCTCGGAGCCGGGGGATTATAATGGCCGACAACGACAGCGATGCGATGCATAAACAATGCCACTTTAAATTGGCAATTGTTGCGACAGTACATTTTACAATGAATTACTGCACTGGCCATTCTTTCCTTCCTTCGATTTGCGAAACAACAGCCAAATAAAAGGGTCGAATGCCAGTCGAGTATAATTGCACGTCTCCGGGGCGAAAGTACGGCCTGAACTTGAACTGCAAATTGGGGCGTAACTAACAAGCGATTTACCAATTCTTTTTTGAAAGTTTAACCTATGCGTTCGACTTATGCCAGCTATAAAAGGGCCGGGTTAAAGGTGTTTTGGTACAGTTCACAACGGCCTGGTGATCAGCCAACAGTCCAGCTAAGATTAACTCATAAACTAGCTGCGGTACCATGGCTCAAAAGGTGAGTGCGGCCAAAAGGATAACAGCCGAATGGCATTTATTATTTCCCTCGATATCCCTCAGTTTTGCATCGCCTTTGCCCTCCTGGCAACTGCGGCTATCCGGGCAGCACCTTTCCACGGCCACGAACACCATGGCCACCATGGCGGTGCCACCAGTCACGCCTCCGTGCACCTAACATCCCACGACGACCACCAGGATCATCATCATGAGCATCATGGGCAGGATGGGCACCACGACTCCCATGCTGAATACGACTTCCACTACGGCGTCAAGGATCACAAGACTGGGGATGTCAAGTCGCAGAGCGAGTCGCGACATGGCCACACGGTTACCGGGCACTATGAGTTGATCGACGCCGATGGCCACAAGCGAACTGTCCACTACACGGCGGACAAGCACAAGGGATTCGAGGCCCATGTGCACCGGGAGAAGCTGCACGACCACCACCAGGCGGAGCACCATGGCCATGGACACAGCGCTGGACACGTTGAGTTCGAGGAGCACTCCTCGCACTCCGGCCACGAGGAGCACGGTCACGGACATGGACATGGAAGCAGCTCCCACAGCTACTCGCTGAAACAGGAACACGGACATGGACACAGCCACGCTCAGGATCATGGCTTTGAGCACGGATACGGCTACCATTGAAAACTCGTTATCGATCTTTTATTGAACTCTTACCAAATACCTATTGTTGTTATACCAAAATAAAGCAGGCAAACATAAAGTCCAGTTTGAATTGAAATGGTGAATTAGGTTTCTCTAAATATGGTTATCAACTCCATAAAGATCGAAATCCGGCAACATTTCACACTCGACTATATGCTATATACAAAGCACAATTAACGTGAAAAAACAGAAAATAGTATATAATTAATTTGGAAATATTTGGCATATTCAAATATGGAAATATTTCGCTTCATTAGAGAAATTTTGGCACATGAATATGCTGATTTATGAACTTGGCGACTCAACACCAAAAACGAGAATCGCATAGACCGTGATTTGGGTCAGAATTAGTAATGTGCGATGCGACAGGCAAGATATATCACGAGTTCGATGATTATAAATCATATTTGTGCAGCTTATCCATAAATTAGCCAGCAATCTATTCAGGTGGCTAAAAACTTGTATTTTGAGTAAAAGCATACACAGTATATATGTATGTATGTATGTATGCATGGCGATTTTTTATGGACGATTCTTTGCACTTTTAGTGGTGGCAACATCGGGATTTTCGGAGTTGAAAGTCCTTTATTCATCCTCGCACACCCATAAATCAAATATGTATATATCTCTAGCACTCGCGAGTGCGTGTATGTGTGTGTGTGTGTGTGTGTGTGTGTGTGTTACCCCTCATCCGAGTTGGCTACAATTTGTTTAACAGACAGGCTCGGCACATCCTTGCGTTATCCTGTTGCCCTCGTTTGTTGCTGTATTACAAATGACTGTGGAATATTTATAAGCATCATAAATTTAATTTATGTCGCCGCTGCGCCCGCCGCGTTTATTGTGCGCATAATAAACGCTCCACAAAAATCCATTCTCGACCCAACTCCAGTTGCCTTTCGCTCCGAGTAATTTATTATTTTTATACGTTCCATGTGTTTGTGCGGCACGCACTTTCTACATTATGTAATATACGAGATATAGTGCGAAAATTGCAACGGCTATTACTTATATTTATTACGCCACTTTTTCCCCGATTTTTGTGTCCTGTGTTGCAAATAATGATTAATTGAAGCTCACTTGTAAGACAGCTCAGTGGAAATTTGAGTAATAAATGGCTTGACTAGAAATGCGTAAGATAGTAAAAGAAAGTTTTCAAACCAGAAACAGTCTGCATAATCATGCTTTCAGTCATTAATAAAATTAGCTCACTGAAAACAAGCATCAGTTTAAATAGTATCTCAATGCGATAACTGAATATTAAACAGAAATCATCAACTGGCAATCAAGAAAATTATGCACTTTGTATTTTAATTTACCTTAATCAGGATCCTTAACCATCGAATCGCGATTCGACACTTAATGAGCTCGGCTGAAAAATTTACATGCCACCTAATGCAATTGAATCATAAATTTTGCATCGGAAAAAATGAAATTGAAATTAATTAAGCGAAGCTTCAAGGGAATGTGTGAGTCGCTGTTGCTACAGGTCGTAAATTTACTTGATTACGATTTATTTGAAATGAAATCAAAGCAATAAAAACACAGTTGCCGAAACGCAAAACAGAATGAATTTTTCGTTTTGTTTTAGGAAACCGAGAAACTAAGAAACTAACCAAACGCGTTGATCCATTTGCATTGCAAATTGCTGTGGCAAGTGAGTTTTGAGCCTTAAAGCGAACCAACCGCGCATAAAAATCGAGTAAATATATATTTTATGTTTCACTTGTCGTCGTTTAATGCCATAAAAATGGGTATGTGTCTTATTAACTGATGAGGCTGTCGTTTCAACCAGCCAAATATACATTCCCAAACCGGTATGGCACCAGCCAAGTCAAAACCGCGAGGAGGGCGCCCCAAACCAAACTAATTCAGCCAGGCCAGCCCAATCGAATCCAATTCAATCCAATCCAATGCCCGTTACCTGACTTGGGCGATGGTGTCATTAATTTTGGTATCGTAAAGCCCACAATATGTCAAACGAGACCACACAGCGTCGTAAAATTCAATGTTTATGGCCAGCCTCTGAATTTGGGTTTAGTAAGTTTGGCTTGATTTTTTCGAGCTGAACTTGTGCTTCGGCTTCGGCTTCGGCTTGGTTTTTGATTTTGATTTTCGTTTTGATTTTTGCTTCGGTTGGGCTTTGAATTTGTTATCAAAAGTGTCGCGTCGCTTTTAATGGCTTTTGCTTTAGGTGGCTGGCTGCCTTGTTGCGTGTTTCGGTTTTTTAAACGCTTGCCAGAAAATTAAGCGTAACTTATTTGTCAAGTTTCAGCGCGTTGTTTTTTACTTTTTGTGTTGCGAACGATTTTTGTGAAACATAAATAAGCTTGATTCGGTAGGAGATTGTGTCCAGCCAAATGAGCTACAAATGCCAAATCAATTAACGTCGTTTTATAAAGTGCTAACATGCATAGTGAGTTCAGTTTAGCTTTACTTTTTGGCAACAGAAACATACTTAACATTGCTAAAAAAGTCTTTTTTTGAAAAAACTAACTGCGCATGGAACAAAGGAACTGCTATGAACGTTAAATATTTATGGAAATTATTTTCGATTATCATTTCAATGTTTGCATTGCATGTAACATCGGAAAACTGATTTCCCCTCGAACGCGGCAGCATTTGGCCAATTGCATTGCCTGTTTTAGCACACACTTTACGAAATATCAATAAATATTTTGCTAATTACACCGCAGAGTGATTATTTAAGCCCGGCTATATGGGCTGCTGCCGGTGTTTGTACGCCGTCGGATTGTAACAGATGCCCCATGGCATCCATAATAATGTTAAATGCTTTATAATAACCATAAATGTTTGAAATGTATGTGCCAAATGGCTTTTGGTGGCACATCCAACCGCACACGCAGTGTGTCCACTCCACTCCACTCCACTCCACTCCACTCCAGTCCAGTCCCGTTCACATAACCAGTTCGAATCCAGCTGCGTCTCTCGACAGCCGGCACAGTGAGAGGTCCCTCGATTCCAGTGAGTCGAGTCGTGGTCTCGGCCTTTTTGCCATGGAAATTGTTTATGGACATCTTGTTTCTCTTTACTTTTTGGTGGCGTGTTGCTGAATTTAACTGATTTTTAATGTGCGCGACGAGACTGGTGGGCGTTGGCCAGTGGGAAACGGGCATAACTCTGGGGGTCGACATATAACGCCATTCGGTATTAGCCAATTTGCGGCAGTTTATTGGTGGAAAACGGCTGGTCGCTGACTGCTGGCTACTGTTTTTAATAAACTCATTGATTTATGTCTAATTAAATTTGTTGGCCATATTCATTTATGCCAATTACCGCGGCACATGCGCAATCAATTCAATTCAATGCGATTCCCCATTGGGTCAATGCTACATTTAAGCAGCCAAATAGGCGCAGCAACTAAACGGGTTGACCATACATATATACATGTATCAATGATTAATGATCAGCAAATTGGGTTGACTGGTAAATGGAATTTTACTTTATTTCACCGTGGTGCTGACCATGAAAATCGAGAACCCTGCAACGCCCCAAACTGTCAGTTATCCATCACGATTGATGGATGTGCTCGACGGTGGGGCAGTCTTTACTTCCATCCTCCACTGCCACAGTGTAGAATGGTGGCTTCCAGCCATCCATCCACTCATCGTCATTGTCCATAACCATTATCCGCCACTCTAGCCCCGGGTACTCAACTCTATATACATACTGGCAACTCGTAAATCGCAAGTCGTGCAAAATGATCCTCACTTCCCACCATATAAGCCCCTTTCGGGGATCGCCTGGGTGTTACCCACACATAGGCCAGCTTATCCCGAATTGTAATCAACTTAATAATAGGCTAGGCGCGCCTTAATGCTGATTAGGGGTTTTGTTTTAAACTCTGGCCGGGCCAGGCAGATTGAATGTTCGCGGCGGCCATACGCACCATAATTATGCAGGGCAGTGTAGAGGTGGCTACTTTCGATTCTCCACTACTCCACTGGAAAGTGCTGCTGCCACTTGCAAACTATAACTCCAAATGTTATGTTGCTCAATTGAATTCCGATAGGAACAGAATGCATCCATTAAGGTGTAATTAAGCAAACTGAGCAATCTGCTTAGGCCGCAATACTTTGTGTTGTGTTTTTGCCCGCTTTTCCTCCATTTTTTATGCGCCTAGCTTTATGTGGCTATCAAAGTTAATTTCCAATATGATTGATATGTTTTTGCAGGCACACAAAACCACCGCTGCCGCAGCAGAAATGACTTTGTCCAGCGGACAACTATAAATCATTGGGACAAAAATGTGAACACGCGGCACACATTAGTCAAAGAGGGCAAAGGCAGCCGAACCGAGCTGCTGCTGGCCAAAAAACGCATAAACATTTTACAGCGCAAACAATTAACTAAAAATAACATAAAAGAGTAGGCCGAGTAGCCGAGCAGCGCCATATATGAGGGGCCAACTTGAAAATCTCGAAACGAAAATGATTAATGAACGTACGAATGGCCGTTTGGGAAAGTTACATAAATTAACACATGTCTTTTTACCATAATGAGTCAACAGCGATTTGGCCAACACTAAGAGCCAGTCTCTGCTCAGCAGACAGGCGGCCCCCAGGCGCCCAAGTCGCTTTAATTTAATTAATGTGTCTGCCGATAATCATTTTTCGAGTATGTTACGAGACACCGGCAGCAAGTATTAATTCTAAATCAATTAGGCAAGGGCAAATCAATCAATTGCTGGAAATTAAATAACTATTAGAAGAGCCAGACATCGCAGTGAAAAAACCAGACTTCGCATTTATAAATGTTATTGGGTATTTTATAATTTGGTAAACTTCATGACGTTTCGTTGAGCACTTTAATGTGGAACATTAAACGATGTGCCCTTAGCAACTTTCCGGCTAAATGACAACTCCCAGCCTAGTCAGTCAAAGTATTGTATGTTTTTTACCACATATTTGCGTTTTTCCTCGTCTGCGAGCAGCGAAATGAACGCTAAAATAAGGGCAACTTTCTGGTCATGACAGGTTCCACAGGACTCGGCCATAATTGTTGTATTTGTTGTCAGCGGAAAACAAAAGGAGCAGCCGGTCCAAGTTCATTGAAATGGCTCGCCACCGAATGCGGCAACAAAAAATGTGTGTGTGTGGCTCATGTGGCCCCAGGATAAACAGCCCGGCACACGGAAGGGTATCCCTGAATCGGAAAGGAGCACTGACGAACTGGAGGACAGGAGAACCGGAGGACAGGAGGATCGCAGAACGAGATGCCCAGGCAGACACTAATTCGATCTGATAATCATGGAGTTCTGCCAAAGGGCATGAATTGTAATTTCCTCTTTCGCGGAATTAACTGTCGGTCCCTTTCGCTTTGTTGTTACGATGTTTTGCGATTTTTTGTATTTTTATTTTTTATTTGCCCTTCCGAATCTGCAGAATTTTGTTGTTTTTTTCTGCAGAGACACACACACACGGGCTAACCATTGTTGGTTGGTATTTATGTGTCATATTTATTCATTTAAAAGCATTGCGCTTTTGTTTCACTGCTGCCGGTCGTGTGTCGCTTTGGATTTCATTCATGGACACGAAGCCTGCAGGATATATTTTTGTACCCTTGGTTGTCCTTTGATGTCGGCACTTCTTAGAGAATGCCACTAATTTGAACATTGATCCCATCTGCAATCTTTTAAGCTGGGCGGAACACATTCACGTACTTTTCTACACATGTTACATGTTTGATTGTCACATTTTAAGCCACATTTTAATCAGCTTTTCATTAAGGAATGTTCATTGATTTTTAAAAGTACCAATTTCTTATGGAATTACATTTGCAGTGTATATAGCTTAGGTTTAAATAGGAACTCATGGCGTTCCAGCATTATGGGCTTTGGTTTTTCCGCGCAAACTGCAGTTTAGACTATTCGCAGACAGGAAAATGGGAGGAAAATAGGCAAAAAAATAAAAATAAAAACCAGACTGTAAACCAAAAATCCAGAACAAAACTTTGCGCCGTACGATAGATACACAAACATACATCCTTGTTTATGTATTCAAATACTCGTGTGTATACACGAGGAGTCGGAACTGACTGAACAACAATTTCGCAAACGGAGGGTAAAAATAAAATCAGCATTTTTAGTAGTTAATTTAATTTATTGCTGCGTTTTTATGGTTGACTTTATTGCATAATAAAACATAATTTACTGCGCCATTGAGACTTTTTGCGTTTGCGTCGATGATTCTAAAGCGCAACCATCGACCATGGCCCACAGAGGAGTGAAGTGGAGAAAGGCGTCGGGCCCACAGAGGGATACAGATACACTTACAGATACAGCCACACTTGCAGATACAGATACTGGGAGAGAGAATGTGGTTATTGCGAAATTGGGCGAGACAAAGACGATGCCCGCAGGGGGAGGGAGTACAGACAGGAGAGGTGGAAAACTTCAGACAGATTGCAATTTCATTTTTGTTTACGTGGCCGGAAAATTTCGGGAAAGCCCCCCGTTTAACGGGCGTGTTGAAGACTAACGCTGAAAGTATTTGCACGTTTATTGCGCAATAAATTATTGTAATATAACAAATTTCATAAAAATGATAATTTTTTTGCAGTTGATTTTTACACTACTTATCGATTTGGCTAAGCATGTAAAAAATCGAATACATTTTGTTGTGTGTTTCACCACCAAGCCATCGACTACTTGCGGTCAAGTCGTTGGATTTAATTGCCAATTAACAGGGCACAAAAGTGATGTGTAAATTGCCATGTCCTACCGCAACTCAAGCGACCAACATTTCACCCGCTGGGCAGGACACAAACATTCCATCAGCCAGTCATTGGCATATATCATGGAATCCAATCGGCCGTAGCCCACTGGCCATATAAAAGAGCCACCGGATGGAGCGATTGCAAACAGTTGGGCATTGGGTGTGGGTCAGCATGCATGTCCAGGAACTGCTCTTCGTCGCCGCCATCCTAATGCCCCAATGCCTGAGGGCATTGCGATATAGCCAGGGCACTGGCGACGAGAACTGCGAGACCCTCAAGTCGGAGATCCACTTGATCAAGGAGGAGTTCGACGAGCTGGGCAGGATGCAGAGGACCTGCAATGCCGACGTCATCGTCAACAAATGCGAGGGATTGTGCAACAGTCAGGTGCAGCCATCGGTGATAACGCCCACGGGGTTTCTGAAAGTAAGTTCTGCCTCCATTCGCCAGCGAACTATAAGATACTTTGCGTTCTAGGAGTGCTACTGCTGCCGCGAAAGCTTCCTCAAGGAAAAGGTCATCACTCTGACCCACTGCTATGACCCGGACGGCACCCGGTTGACCTCTCCGGAAATGGGCAGCATGGACATACGCCTACGGGAGCCCACCGAGTGCAAGTGCTTCAAATGTGGCGATTTCACACGTTAATGCCTCAATATGCTAGATATATGTTTTCAGCCAAATTTGTTTCAGTTGGAGAGTGTAATTTAGAGATATATTTCCAAATGAACCCCGCAACTTTGAACCTTGTATATTCCTGAATATTTCGTACACACTCTTCAGTAAAATAAGTAAAATCCACGTTTTTTCAGTTTCATAAACATTTTTGTCAATGTCTATTCTAAAATGAGGAAAGCAGCATTCAAAACATAAATAACAAATATACACATATGTATGTAATGTCATAATTATACTTAAGAATAATTCTTTAGGCGGATAATTATTTATAGCATCTAACAATGTTTTCAACCTTAGTTTAAAAGAATTTTGTTCTATTTTTGGCTATTATTTCGTGCAATTTGGAGTGCTGCATTGGTATGCAGTAAGCCCAAGGCCAGCAAACATCTGTTTGATTGAAAATGCAGCACACATTTCGCTGAGAGGCACTTGTGTTACTCCATGAATGCATGAACTTTGATTTTCCCAAAAATATGCAATGCAATCGAATCGAAAAATGCTTGACATATCACCGAAGGCCACAAAATTGATTGCAACCAAAATGGAATACATCACTCGTCCCTTGCCAGGCAAAAATGGCTAAAATGGCAACGGGCATAGTGACTTTTTGGCCCAGCCTGGCTACCAAATTAACTCATTTAGTCCGAAGGTCCGGCGCACTCACAATTGCCATATTTTTGTTGGCATCTGTGCGGGACATGATGCCTAACCACCCGGAAACTCGTCCAGCAAACGTAATAATCAAGCATAAACTGCACTTAAGATGAAAACCGCTTTCTGGTTGTTAATTTTCATCATTATTTTCCCCCTTTCCACATTCCATATTCCTCCTCTTTTATTATATTTTATTTCAGACATGCGAGTGCTCCGCAGCTGAATTGATTAAAGCCAGAACATCGACTAATTGTAAATTGGAGCGGCTTGGAACGGAACACGCTCGGTATGGGGGCCACATTATAATTTCATGTTCACAAGCACATTTGCACGCACTGTAATTTACTTAAGCATTTTCCACTGCTCCCCATGTATGTATGTACTTACTACTCAGCTGGATGTGATCTCCAACGTTCCATCCTGAGTTGCCGCCTTTCGTTCGTGTGTGCGAAACTCATAATTTAGCTGACACGCCCATTAACAGCGGACCGGGTTGATCTTCCCGAGCTACTGAGCTCCATATCCACGTCCAAGATTCCTCCAAACGGGGCGCAAAGGGGGGACAAGTGGGGCACAAAGGGGGGCTCTGGGTGGCATCGCGCGTCAGTGGCTCCATCAACAGCAACGTGCCGACACAATATAAATTATATATTTATATTTATAACATACATCGAGCGGCGAGCGCGATTTTAACCATTTTCCCGGCAAATCTTGCATCCCGGATGAAGTCACGTAGAACCGGTGAGCAAAAAAATCAAAAAAAAACTACCTGCGATCAGATGATCACTCAAAACTTTTAACATTTCATTAGGGTAATCAAATTATACAGTCTATAAGCGAACGGGTTTCCACAACAACACAATTACCGCTCCATTGCAGCTGCTGAATAACTCATTTTGTTCCGAGGATCACCTGGAAAGTGTGGATCAAGTGGGGTCATTAATTTGGGAACATGTGCGAAAATGATTTCAAACTGATATGGCATTTTAAAATATCAAATGATTGGAAACTGAAATGGGATTTTCAAATATCAAATGATTTTAAACTGAAAGGGGATTTCAAAATATCCAATAACTTCAAATTGAAAAAAGATTTTAAAATATCAAATGATTTAAAACTGAACAAAGATTTAAAAATATGAAATGATTTGAATCTGAAAAGGGATTTAAGAACATCAAATGATAGGAAACTGTGAAGGGAGCTTAAAATATCAAATTATTTGAAACTGAAATGGGATATTATAATATCAAATGATTTCAAACTGGAATGGGTTTTTAAAATATCAACTGATTTAAAACTGAAATGGGATTTTAACCTATCATATGATTTCAAACAGGAATCGTTTCTTAAAACATCAAATGCTTTCAAACTGAAATGGGATTTTCAAATATCAAGATAGAAAAAATGTTTCTGTACTGGATAGTTCAAGCCCAAGGCTGTGAATAGGAAATGATAATTTTTGGAATACATTGTGCGGATGATTAAAATCGATCGCTAAATACCCCAATAAATTTCACTCACAGGCCAAATTCGTGAGCTAAATCGAACGCATGCGTCGTGTTAAATAAATTGCTGCATATTTATAAGTTATAAATTAAACGCAGACCACGAAAGGCTGCTGGCAACGTTAAGTTGCTTATATTCTTCCGAGTCACTTTGATGATAATTAATGAATGTTAATTAATAACAAATTTGAAACTCACAAAAAAGGGGGAACGCAAAATATAAACATTTACTTGAATGCTACTTTATTGTTATTGTTGCTGCTGCTGTTTATCGCTTATACAATATCTAACATACTTTTTGTGTTAAAACGCGTTAATATTGGCAATTATTTTTCATCATTTCGAATTCTTTATTCGCATCTCCATTCGCATTTGCATAAAAACGCAATTAATTTTGATTGTTTGTCATTCGGTGAAATATATTTCTGTTTGTTTTTATTGAAGGCTCAAGGCGAAATGTAAACAACAATGATATTGTCGAACGGAAAAATGCTTTTAGTGTCAAGACACACTGCCGTATTAGCTCTCAGCCCTCAAACACAATCGGCCCACATTAATGGCCAAAAGACAAGAAGGCGTGACATCATTGATTGGCTTTATCTCAAAAGGTATTTCTTTGGCTGTTTTCAACATCTCTTTGTTTACCCATAGCCTTACAACTAGCAAGCAGATCGCTTCGCTTTCTGATTGAAATTTATGTGGTGTTTATTAGCACTATAGTTTGGCCTAATGCCAGTTGACATCTCTGGACAATGCTATAATTAATAATTATGGATTTGGCTCAGCTAATTAATAAATCGAAGCAGTTGAATGGCAAAATTTATTCTCATCTCGCTGAATTCATGGCACCCAAGCTTTAAGTCTGTGAAACAACACAGCCATGCCATTAATAACAACTATCCACTATCCTTAATTTTTCCCTTACTTAGAGTATTCAGGAAGCAGCATTGTGGCAGCTTCCGCCCAGAGCCGCGCATATATCATATTTCAGTTAGGAGCGGCAGAAATGCGGAGTGCTGTGAGCTAGGGTGGACCAAAAATGCGAGGTGCAGGGGTCACCTGTCAGGGAGCCAAAAGCCCAGCGAAGCGCAAAGCGTTTTTGCATTTTGCATTAAATTTATGATTTTTACAGCTGACATTTGTTTTCGGGCGCCTTTTCCTACTTGCAACAACTGTGTGTGCCTCTCGTTTCCCTGCCACCAGTCGCATGTGCGTAGGGCATAACATGTAACAAGGCAACAGCAACAACAACAGTCCGGGCACGACAGCAACATATTTTTTGCAACTGCAACTGAATCAGCATAGGCGCCACAAGTGGCGCGGAAGAACGACTTCACAAATGCTCTAACACAAAATGCAGCTTAATGCAGCAAAGTATAACATTATATTTAATATATTTTAAGGAAACTGCCAAACAGAGGAAGTTTATTGATTTGATTTTAGTTCAGCATATTTCATCAGAATTTGAGAAACTTGTAAGTACCCGCAGCAAGGGCATTACAAAAAACAGAGGTAGCAGCAGCTGTCATAAGATAAAAATTTGCCCGCGCCTGCATATTGCATATGCAACTGCAACCGTTGCAGGTTGCCAGTTGCAAGGAAGGGAGGGGGGCGGTGGGGGGTGTGGGCCAACAGGGGCAGCATGCAACATATTCTAATGCGTTGCGACATCAAGTGACAGCAACGGCGACAGTTGCTGTTGCCGCATGAGAGGCGGCGACAGGCGACAGCAGCAAAGATGAAGAGAGCACCAGCGGCAAAAAGTGTACATACGAGTATATGTGAAAAGCGGACTGCATTTTCCATTTTCCCGGGCATGCAAATGAACTGAACTGCAATTATGATAAACGCCGCCAGTTGACCGGATGTGGGCAACTAAAGGAAAACTGGCCCAAGACCGGGACACCTTTTGCATCGCAAAGATTGCGCAATTATTATAATGGACAATAAGCATGAGATACTTAGAGATTGCAAAGAGAAGGCAATTAAAAAACTTGATACGTTCTAATCAAGGTGGGGAATAAAAAATGTTCTTTTTAAAGATAAAAAATGTGACTTAAACAGCTAACTTATTTAGGTTGCTAAGTTAACTGGATGCAATCTAAAGACACAGCCTAGTTACATTCTACCGTTTTCAGCCTTTTGCTCCTTTGAAAACAATTTTCAGAAGTAAAGTATATTAAATTGAAGGCAGCATATGTCGCCTGCTGGCCTATGGCTTTTAGATTTTTTCATTTTCATAACGTTTTTGTGTGTTGCACACACTTCTACATGAAGAAAGCGAAGCCCCTTTGGCACATTACTCATACGCCCCAGTGGGCAAATTTATGAACTCACCAGCGCACTTGAGGCTACGACAAACGAGCTGAAAAAAAAGGAAAAAATACACACACACAACCCTAGAAACACACACTACTGACATCCATGTACAAACACTGGGTAAGTGCGTTTGTATGTTTATTGGAGAGCAAAGTATAAGTACGGGGCTAGTAAAGCAGCTTGTAAAATATGCCAAGGGTTAAAAAGTGTGCAGCACATAATTCATACACATATACAACGGGAAAGTCGCCCGGAAAATATGGCCAAAGGGTAAAAAGATGAAAAGCATAGGGGAAAGCGTGGCACAAGGGGCAAGCTCAACTGCAATCGAGCAACGGGTAAGTAGATGCAGCATCTTTTGGGAGGCATCTTGTGCAGCATACAAATGGCAGCACTGCGGATAATTACAAATGCACTTTGGTTTATTTTTATTGCTAAATATATGGAATTTTACTAAGGGGAGAAGTGAAAATATATCATTGCATACTTATTGACACCCCTGCAAGTTGTATCAAAACAGATACTAATCTGTAGTTTTCCCGACATACAAGTGGAAACTAAATGAGTAACTTTTCCAAGCCCATTGTCACAACTCAAATTATGCCGAGACATCCCGCAAACTAACAAGCACTCAACCACTTTGGTGACCATTTTGTGTTACTAAAAGGGCTTTTCCGGTCACATGTGGCCGCCTCCTC